GAAGGGTAGGGGAAAGGTAATAAGGGAAAAGAAAAAATATGAGAAAATGAAAAAATGGAAATAAAGTGTTTGTAAATGGAGAGGGGAGGAGGGGGAAGGGAGGGCAGGGACAAGGGGAAAAAATGAGAACCAAGACCTGTCATGTAGGGTTGCAAGATCCCAAAAATGAATGTAACTGTACTGTATACCTAAAATGTACCAATAAACTCAATGAGAAAAAGACATGAAATCAACCAAAGGTCTTCAAAAACAAGGGCGTTGGTTTTCTATCACTGCTTAACATATTACTAACCAATAAGAAAAAAACAAATTACTGCAAGTTGTAGGTGAACTCCATTTCACTGTGGTGTAAGACTATAGGACTGAGGTCCCTATTTCATTGCTACCTGCCAAACAAGGACCACTGTAACTTAGAGAACAAATGTAACCCACATTTGTGGCCTACTCTGTCTTCAAAGTCAGCAAGAGAGAATCTATCAAATCTCTTACACACTGAATCTCTGTTTACAGGGGTGCCCAGTCCACTTTAAGGGCTTCTCTAATTAGTTTAGAACCTCTCTGAATAATCTCCCTATCTTAAAACCACCTGATTGGAGACCATTAAAATTGCTACCTGAGCTGAGGTTGTAGCTCAGTGGTAGAGCACTTGCCTAGCCTGTGCAAGGCCCTGGGTTTCATCTTCTGCACCACATAAACAAACAGGCAAACAAATGAAATTTTTTCACAATAGAACCAAGATTAGCATTTGTTTTAGCAATTGGGAGATGCTTTATGTATACACCAGGGGCCAGGAATCTTCGGGGAGGGTGGTATCTTAGAATTCTGCCTACCACAGCAGAAGCAGGGCACATAGAAGCAGCACATGAACCACAAATGCTGAGGGATTGCACAGCATAAGAATCATCAGTGTGGTGGGGTCAGGACAAGCTTCCTGAGATGGGTCAATCTCAGTTTTGTTTCAAGTTGATTAAAGACCACCTGGAGGGAGAAGAGCACAGGCATTTTAAATAAGGCCAAGAATATGAACAAGGGCATGGAGAGGAATCACATTCTGGTGAAGTGTTCAGGTTAGGTTGGGTATCTGAGAGATTCTTCACTGGGAAATGAGCTCTCAGCTTGGAACAATAAGGTTGACAGCTGGGCGTAGTGGTGCACACCTGTGTTCCCAGCCCTCAGGGAGGCTGAAGCAGGAGTATTGTGAATTTGAGGCCAGCCTGGGCTCCATACATAGCAAGACCCTTTTTTCAAAACACAAAGAAAGAAAGGAGGAAAGAAAGAAAGAAACATGAGGGTGACAGAAATCGACTAAATGCCCTCAAATACAAGGGTGGGGAATTTAGGCTCAATCAGCAGTGATTACAAGAGTTTGAGTGTGAGAGATGGATTGAGTATCTCTTGTTGAAGAGCAGCACACACAGCCCTGGAGACTATGCAATGTACCTGGAAGCTCCTACTACTGGTTATAAATGTTGGAAATGCATTGCAAGATGTAGGCGTATTTGACTGTGTTGTGGGCTTGTCTGTTTTCTGAAACCCCTTCTCTCTTCCTTCCTTGGACCGCATAATCAAGACCACTCACGAACATGAATCAAAGCAGTGCGGAGGCCCCATGACATTTGTCTGGGAATAACATTCTCTGACTGTAGAATGGAACTGCATCGCAGGAACACTGTGCCCCCACACTCCT